GATCTCCTGACCTCGTGATTCGTGATTCGGGCTGGGGTCAAACTTCTTACCTAGAGAATTAGTTAAATAATAAATGTGTGTAAGTCACTAAATGAGCTGTAATTTGTTACAGTAACAATTGAAATAATACACACACTCAAAAAAGATATGTTGAGACAAATCAGCAAGATTTAAACAGGGATTTGGCATCAGGCACTGTGGCTCACACCTGCAATCCCGGTACTTTGGCAGGACTAAGGCAGGAGGATCACTTGAACCCAGGAGTTCAAGACCAGCATGGGCAACATAGTGAGACCCCTCTCTCTACAAAAAAATTTTAAAAATTAGCCAGTAGTAGTGCTGCACACCTGTAGTCTAGCCACTTGGGAGGTTAAGGTTGGAGGACTGCTTGAACCCAGGAGGAAAAGACTATAGTAAGCCATGATCATGCCACTGCACTCTAGCCTGGGCAACAGAGCAAGACCCTATTTCAAAAAAATTTTAAAATTAACAGGAATTGGGTATCAGATGGAATATTGAGGAAATAGTGTTAATTTTTGATAGAATATGGTAATACTATTGGGGCTTTTTAAACTTTGTTTGTTAGAAATATGCACTGAAGCTCAGGCACGTTGGCTCATACCTGTAATCCCAGCACTTTGGGAGGTCGAGGCAGGTGGATCACTTGAGGTCAGGAGTTCAACACCAGCCTAGCCAACATGGTGAAACCCCATCTCTACTAAAAATACAAAAATTAGCTAGGCATGGTGGCAGATGCCTGTAATCCCAGCTACTCGGGAGGTCGAGGCAGGAGAATCACTTAAAGCCAGGAGGTGGAAGTTGCAGTGAGCCAAGATCATACCACCGCACTCTAGCTTGGGTGACAGAGTGAGACTATGTCACACACAAAAAAAAAAAAAAGAAAAAAGGAAAAAAAAATATGTACTGAAGTATTTATAGATGAAATGATACAAGGATGTCTGGGATTTGCTTTATTTTTTATTTTTTTAAGATGGAGTCTTGGCCTTGTTGCCAGGCTGGAGTGCAATGGCATGATCTTGGCTCACTGCAACCTCCACCACCCAGGTTCAAGGGATTCTTTTTCCTGACTCTCGAATAGCTGGGATTACAGGCTCCCGTGACTATGCCCAGCTAATTTTTGTATTTTTAGTAGAGACAGGGTTTCACTATCTTGGCAGGCTGGTCTCGAACTCCTGACCTCAGGTGATCCACTCTCCTCGGCCTCCCAAAGTTTTGGGATTATAGGCGTGAGCCATTGCACCCAGCCAGATTTGCTTTAAAATAATACTGTCCTCCTACCTTAAAAAAGGTAAGGGTTCTGAAACCAAGGTCCAAAAATAAAAATAAAAAAATTATTTAAAGGTAGGGGGATAGGACAAATTGGCAAAAAGTTGGTTACTTGTTGAAGCTGGGGACTAGTTACACTATTATTGTGTATACTTGAGATTTTCCATAGGAAGTTAAAAAAAAAAAAAAGTGAATTATTTTAGGAGAGAGCACCTATATATTCCAGATCAGCACTGTCCAAAAGAATTTTCTGTGATGATGGCAATGTTCCATATCAGCACTGTCCAATGCTATACCCGCTTACCATAAGGCTTTTGAGCACTTGAAATATAGGAAACATGGCCAGGCGCAGTGGCTCACGCCTGTAATCCCAGCACTTTGGGAGGCTGAGGCGGGCAGATCACGAGGTCAGGAGATCGAGACCATGGTGAAACCCCGTCTCTACTAAAAATACAAAAATTAGCCGGGCGTGGTGGCGGGCGCCTATAGTCCCAGCTACTCGGGAGGCTGAGGCAGGAGAATGGCGTGAACCTGGGAGGCGGAGCTTGTAGTGAGCCGAGATCACGCCACTGCACTCCAGCCTGGGTGAAAAAAAAAAAGAAATATAGCAAACGCAACTAAGGAAGTGAATTTTTCATTTTATCATCATTTTTTAAATATTTTATTTTTTGAGACAGTCTTACTCTGTTGCCCAGTCTGGAGTGTAGTATAATCTCGGATCACTGCAGCCTCTGCCTCCTGCGTTCAAGTGATTCTCCTGCCTCAGCTACCCGAGAAGCTGGGCTTACAGGCATGTGCCACCACACCTGGCAAATTTTTGTATTTTTCGTAGAGATGGTGTTTCACCATGTTGGCCAGGCTGGTCTTGAACTTCTGACCTCAAGTGATCTGCCTGCCTCAGCCTCCTAAAAACCTGGGATTACAGGTGCGAGCCACCACACCCAGCTGAATTTTTCATTTTAAAATGTAAATAGCCACATGTGGTTAGTGGCTACCATTTACACAGTGCAGCTGGGGATACTGGAAGAGAGCCATGCCACCTTACTACCAGAATTTGAAGTTAATAAGCAAGCTCATGAATCAAGTCAGCCCGCCCAGCCTCTTTTCCCTTTTTGTTAATAGCAGTATCCAGTATCCCAATCCCACTCCAAGCTCTTTTTTACCAGAAGTGGGGCATGAGATCCGGGCTGTTGCACAACTTCTTCCTGGCCATAGTGACTGGTCCAGGAAGAAAATAAGCAGAGCTCGGATTGTCATAATCCTTGCTTGGAATGTTCTATATTACGAAGTAAAGCAGCTTCTTCAATTTGGAGTTGTAAGGAGGGAACCCTAGAACTGCTGGCCATCATGTTCCTTTGCCACTCTGAGAATAAAACCAAAATTAGGATAAAAGACAGAGAGACAGTGTCTTGCTTCTCAAGTACTTAGATCCAGTCAACCCTAAATTCAGCTCCATCCCTTCTTTTCCATGTTTCAGCTAGGTAAGCCAATAACTGCCTTGTTTATGCTATTAATAGTTTTGAGTTAAGTTGTATCACTTGCAACCTAAAATAGTCTTAATGCAAAGCCCCACTCAGTCTGGGCAACACAGTGAAATAGCTTCTCTAGCCAGGCATGCCTGTAGTCCCAGCTACTCGGGAGGCTGAGGTGGGAGGATTATTTGAGCGCAGGAGGTCAAGGCAGTGAGCCGTGATTGTGCCACTGCACCCCAGCCTGGGTGACAGAGTAAGCAGTTTACTGCACCCTTGACCGCCTAGGCTCAAACAATTCTCCCACCACACCCTCCTGAGTAGCTGGGACCACAAACAGACACCACTGTGCCTGGCTCTATTTTTCACAGAGATGGGGTCTTGTCATCTTGCCCAGCCTGGTCTCCAACTCCTGGGCTCAAGCAATCTCCCGCCTCAGCCTCCCAAGTAGCTGGGACTACAGGCATACCACCATGCCTGGCTAATTTTTTTGTATTTTTCGTAGAGACAGGGTTTCAACATGTTGGCCAGGCTGGTCTTGAACTCCTGACCTCAAGTGATCCACCCGCCTTGGCCTCCCAAAGTGGCTGGGATTACAGGTGTGAGGCATTGTGCCTGGCCTTGATTTTTAGTAGAGATGGGGTCTATGTTGCCCAGACTGGTCTCCAACTCCTGGGCTCAAGAGATCTTCCTGCCTAGGCCTCCCAAAGTGCTGGGATTACATGCATGGGCCACGGTGCCCAGCCCTGCTTTTTTAAATGAAATGATTCACCCTGATATGCACTGAAATAAAAAAAATTTTCAGTTAGACTAAGCAGCAAGAATTATCATATTACCAGTAATGGGCATAATATTCTGGGAGGAAAAAAAGTCATAAATCAGTCAGATTCAAGGATCAACCTGTTCAATTGTTCATATTTTATTCCTGTATCAGTAGATTAGGAAAGTAAAATTTTCCCAAGCACTGATTTATAGATCATGTTTATAAGCGGCACACAAAAAGTTAAGTTTCATAAACAATAAGTAGATCAGTGATCTACTTAAATTCAATTGTAATCCTTACGTTAAGCTGAGGGCAATAATAATTTAATACAATAGACTAAATACACACAAACCCGTGTATCCAGAACTACAAACATGGTTTCCATAGCCACATATGGTTTTAGTCACATTTCCACAATGAACAAGTACTTACAAATATGTTAATAAAACACTAACCCAAATGCTTATCCTGCCATGAGCTTTTTAAGCAATGCCATTCCTGCTACTGAAAGCATTTATTTTTAGAAGCTCGAATCTGATCTGGGAAAACGGGTTCTCCTAAAACTTAACAGGATGTTATAAATCTGAAAAGATTTTAAATCAAAAACCCTCCCAACACAGCATTATTCATGTGAAACTTGATTTCTTAAAAAATAATAACTTGTTATCTGAAGAAAATTAAAACAGATTATCTTTTAAGAGATACAAACATTCTCTCAAAAAACTATATTTTCCTCTATCATCTCTTTAAAAGAAATGCAAACCAGTTCATTATCTGTAGTTGTTATTTTGAGACAGAGTCATACTCTCTTGCTCAGGTTGGAGTGCAGTAGCACCATCTCAGCTCACTGCAATCTCTGTCTCCTGGGTTCAAAGCAGTTCTTCTGCCTCAGTCTCCCAAGTAGCTGGGATTACAGGCACATGCCTCCATGCCTGACTAATTTTTTAATTTTTAGTAGAGGCAAGGTTTTCCCATGTTGGCCAGGTTGGTCTCGAACTCCTGGCCTCAAGTGATCTGCCGGCCTCAGCCTCCCAAAGTGCTGGGATTAAAGGTGTGAGCCACCACACCTGGCCTAGTTCATTATCTTTAATATTAATTATCTTTAATAATGAACTAGACAATAAACTAGTTGCTGTCTAAAAACTTCTGAATACATGAAGTACAAGTCTGAGCTGTCGAGTCAAAAATGCCATTTAGATTTCACATATTAAATAGCTACAGTAGTCCAGGCATGGTGGCTCACACCTGTAATCTCAGCACTTTGGGAGGCCGAGGCAGGTGGATCACGAGGTCAAGAGATTGAAACCATCCTGGCTAACACGGTGAAACCCCGCCTCTACTAAAAATACAAAAAATTAGCCAGGCGTGGTGGCGGGCACCTGTAGTTCCAGCTACTCGGGAAGCTGAAGAAGGAGAATCACTTGAACACGGGAGGTGGAGCTTGCAGTGAGCCGAGATCGTGCCACTGCACTCCCGCCTGGCGACATACCGAGACTCTGTCTCAAAAAAAAAAAAAAAAAAGCTACAGTACAGCTTACAAGGGTATAAACATACCTAACAGATAAATACTACTTTATCCTTTAGATAGTCAAAACTCAGAAGGAACGGCATGGCTTGCAAGGTACATTGACTTACGTGTGGTCATTAAACCCCAGTAAGTAATTCAAGTATGGTAATACAAAGGCAGGCAATTAAATACACCAATATCACTCTAAAATCAAAGGCATAAAAATAAAGGCTGAAAACTTTCTCTATCTTTCATTTACATGGCTAGATATCAGAACCTTAATTTAGAAAATATACAATTATTATATATGATTTCCCCAGATGGTAATTTTCAGAAACTACAAAAAGTGTCAAGATCCATAGTTTGCTTCATCAAATGCTTTTCTAGCTCGTTTCAATTCTTCATTCATAGTAAGCAAGTCTTTAACCCTGGCAAACTTTCTTGGGTCCTTTCGAATCAAGAAGACAATATCTTCAACTTGTACTCGACCTTGTCTTCCAATCGACATTGCCTTGTGAGTCTATTACAAAGAAACATATTATATTTAGTTTTTTACAATCTATTATTTTACTGTTTTAATTTGCATTTATTAATTGCAAGTGAGTTTGAAGATTTTCTCTTATTATTATGGCTATATTATGGCTATTCATTTGTGAATTATCTTTCTACTCATATCCTCTGTCCATTTTCTAGTAGGTTATTAGCAATGTTCCCTTTATGCTTCACAGTCACTTTAAAAAAATATCGTTTTTTTGTGAGACGGAGTCTCGCTCTGTCGCCCAGGCTGGAGTGCAGTGGCCGGATCTCAGCTCACTGCAAGCTTCGCCTCCCAGGTTCACGCCATTCTCCTGCCTCAGCCTCCTGAGTAGCTGGGACTACAGGTGCCTGTCACCACGCCCGCCTAATTTTTTTGTATTTTCAGTAGATACGGGGTTTCACTGTGTTAGCCACGCTTGTCTTGAACTCCTGACCTCAGGCGATCTGCCCGCCTCGGCCTCCCAAAGTGCTGGGGGATTACAGGTGTGAGCCACCATGCCCAGCCAAAAAAATATCTTAAGGACATTAAAACTGTCTATTGTTCCTTTTCTGTTTTTTTGATATATGTAGATTTTGTCTTCATTTGTATAAAATAATTTTATCATTTTGTGTACTCACCCATTTCATTTATGCTTTGTGTCCTCCTCCATCTTAATACCCAATAAATATTGGTGGGTTTTCTAAAAATCAAATAAATCTATCTCATCCCCTGTCATTATATACTCACTTGTGCAAAACTGAAGACCTATCATAGTATTATTTCTAACGACAAAAAAAGAGAAGCTAAATACTTAATAATATGGCATTGAGCCGGACACAGTGGCTCATGCCGGTAATCCCACCACTTTGTGAGGCAGAGGGGTTAGATCGCTTGAACCCAGGAGTTACAGACCAACGGGCAACACAGTGAGACCCCGTCTCTACAAAAAATTTAAAAATTAACAGAGCTTGCCAGGCGCAGTGGTTCACGCCTGTAATCCCAGCACTTTGGGATGCCAAAGCAGGCAGATCAAGAGATCAGGAGATCAAGACTATCCTGGCTAACATAGCGAAACCCCATCTCTACTAAAAATACAAAAAATTAGCCGGGCATGGTGCTGGGCGCCTGTAGTCCCAGCTACTCCGGAGGCTGAGGCAGGAGACGCCTTGAACCCAGGAGGCGGGGCTTGTAGTGAGGCAAGATCACGCCACTGCACTCCAGCCTGGTGACAGAGCAATACTCTGTCTCAAAAAAAAGAAAAAGAAAAAGAAAAGAAAAATTAAAAAGAAAAAAAAAAAAAAGCAGAGCATGGTGACATATGCCTATAGTCCCAGGTATTTCGGAGGCTGAGGTGGGAGGACCACTTGAGTCCAGAAGGTCTCAGCTGCAGTGAGCAATGATCATGCCACTGCACTCCAGCTGGGGCAACAGAGTGAGATCCTGTCACACACACACACACAAAAAAAACATTGTATATCTTTAAATACTGGAAAAGGAGGGGAAAAAAATAAACCTATGTTGGATAATGGCATTATGGGTAGTATTTTTACTTTATTCAAGGATTTTATAATTATGTCCTTATAAAAAATGGAAGAGGTTAGGTACGGTGGCTCATGCTTATAATCCCAGCACTTTGGGAGGCCAAGGCTGGTGGATCAAATGAGATCGGGAGTTCGAGACCAGTCTGACCAATGCGGAGAAACCCTGTCTCTATTAAAAATACAAAACTATCCAGGCGTGGTGGCACATGCCTGTAATCCCAGCTCCTCAGAGGTTGAGGCAGGAGAATCCCTTGAACCTGGCAGGCAAAGGTTGCAGTGAGCCGAGATCACGCCATTGCACTCCGGCCTGGGCAACAAGAATAAAACTCCGTCTCCAGAAAAAAAAAAAAAAAGGAAGAAGAGGGGATAGAATATGTATGTATAACCTCCATCCTTAATGATAAACAGTAACCGATAACTTCTGCAAACAAGCACTCAAATGGATAGCTTATTTCAAAGGGATGACATAAGTTCTAGTCTTACCTAAAGTTTAATATTTCAAATCTATTCTTCAATTAAGTAAGATCAGTTAGGAAAGAATCTTACCATTTCAGTGATAAACTCTATGACAAGATCTTCAAGAATATCCACTGACTCAGTATAAGGATTCTGGTCATCCCCAAAGCCATACATCATACATCGCACTGTAAAAGAACAATCACTTTTGTTTACTTTTACAGATTTAACAATTTAATGCTTTAAAAAAATAAACTAGAAGTGAACCAAGTTATAGACAATATTGGTATAAAAACATATTTGCATTGTATTTGTTATCTCCAAGTATGGATTCTGGTGTAAAAGGTTTAAGGACAGTCTGATGACCAGTTGTTCCCATGTACCCTCCAACCAAACTCTTCCTTCCTCCAAGCTACTGAACCCTAAGGTAAACAGTGTTTTCCTAATCTCTATCATCTACTTACCAGTCCCTGACCCAGCAGAACACCTTTAAGTAGGAAACTCCGGCAGGGGACAGGACAGATAGCAATAGCTTAGCCTTTTTTGGAGGCAGTTTTTGTGTGTGGGCATGGCAGAGGGGCATTGGAAAAAAGGCAGATTCTTTACTGATATTACCATAGGGGAAAAGACATGAGAGAAAGTTCTCCAAATAGGTTTGTTTTTTTTTTTTTTGAGACGGAGTCTCCCTCTGTCGCCCAGGCTGGAGTGCAGTGGCACCATCTCGGCTCACTGCAAGCTCCACCTACTGGGTTCACGTCATTCTCCTGCCTCAGCCTCCCGAGTAGCTGGAACTACAGGCGCCCACCACCACGCCCGGCTAATTTTTTGTATTTTTAGTAGAGACGGGGTTTCATCATGTTAGCCAGGATGGTCTTGATCTCCTGACATCATGATCCGCCCGCCTCAGCCTCCCAAAGTGCTGGGATTACAGGCGTGAACCACTGCGCCTGGCCCCAAATACATTCTTACAGGAAGCAACAGGGTAATCAAAATTAGAAAGCAGAGGGCTTACTACAAGGAATTTTGACATTTCCTAGATCAATACAACTGCTGGCAAAGCCCTTTCAGGCTTCATCTGAAGAAACCATATGAAATGAAAAAGGTAAGTCTAGGTCGGGTGCAGTGGCCCACACCTGTAATCCAGCACTTTGGGAGGCCCAGGCAAGTAGACTGCTTGAGCTCAGGAGTTTGAGACAAGCCTGAGCAACATGGCAAAACCCTGTTTCTACCAAAAAAAAAAAAAAAAAATTAGCTGGGCGAAGGCCAGGATGTTGGCTCACGCCTGTAATTCCAGCACTTCGGGAGGCTGAGGCAGATCATTTGAGGCCAGAAGTTTGAGATCAGCCTGGCCAACAAGGGGAAACCCCATCTCTACTAAAAAAAAAAAAAAAAAACACAAAAGTCAGATGGCGGTATTGGCACATGCCTATAATCCCAGCTACTCGGGAGGCTGAAGCATGAGAATCCCTTGATTCCAGGAGGCAGAGGTTGCAGTGAGCTGAGATGGCGTGATCCACCTGCCTCGGTGATCCACCTGCCTCGGCCTCCCAAAGTACTGGGATTACAGGCGTGAGCCACTGCGCCCCACCCCAAATACATTCTTACAGGAAGCAACAGGTGTGCACTCCATCCTGGGTGACACAGTGAGACTTCTGTCTCAAAAAAACCCCACAAATTAGCCAGGCATGGTAGCATGTACCTGTAGTCCCAGCTGCTCACATGAGCCAAGGAGGTTGAGACTGCAGCAAGCTGTGACTGCAACACCTCTCCAGCCTGTTAAACATTACCTGTACATGGGCATTTTTCTGGGAATAATTATAACTTTCATCAGATTCTCAAAGGGGCATATGTAAATGGTAAGAAACTCTGTCAAATGCTGCAAGTCTTTTATTATCTTGATCTTAGTAGTGCGTACAAGTGTGTGAGTGTGTGTGTGTGTGCACGTATATACAGTTACCCCTTAGTATCCTTGGGAGCTTGGTTCCAGGACCTCCTGTGGATACTAAAATCTTCAGATGCTCAAATCCCAGATATAAAATGGCATAGTGTTTGCATACAACCTAAACATCTATATTTTATTTTAAATCATCTCCTATCTATATTTTAAATCATCTCCAGGTTACTTACAATACCTAATACAATGCAAATGCTATGTATATAGTTGTTATACTATATGGTTTAGGGAATAATGACCAGGAAAAAAAGTCTGCACATATTCAATACAGACGCAGTTTTTTTTTTCCTGAATATTTTCCATCTGAGGTTGGTTGAATCCATGGATGCAGAACCCATGGATATAGAGGGCCGACTGTATAGTATACATAAAATTCAGCAAGCTGTTCACTTAAGACTTGCACAACTTATTGTATCTAAGTTCTATTTTTTTAAAAAACATACTGCCAGGCGCAGTAGCTCACGCCTGTAATCCCAGCACTTTGGGAGGCGAAGGCGGGCGGATCACGAGGTCAGGAGATGGAGACCATCCTGGCTAAC